CAGACTCTCCCTAGGCCCTCTCGGAAGAAATCAGAAGCAGATGACCGAGATGGGCTTGGAAGCTGAGGGAGGAAGCCAAGCCACTCTGGCCTTTCCTAACCACTCCTTCTTCCCCAGGGGCCTTGGCTAAGAGCATCGGGACCTTCTCAGACCCCTGCAAGGACGCGCGTATCACCTCCCCCGGAGACCCCTGTCTCACTGGGAAGAGTGGTTCCAGTAGCTTCAGCGGCCACAGTGGCTCCAGCAGTTCCAGCAGCTCCATTTCCAGTTCCAGTGGCTCTGCTGGTGGCTCTGCTGGTGGCCCCAGTGGTTCTGGTGGCTCCAGTGTCGCCCAGGGTGGTTCTTCAGGATCTTCGTTATTTAAGCCAGGAACAGGGTATTCCCAGATCAGCTACTCCTCCGGATCCATCTCCTCCCAGTCGGGCAGCAGCAGCTCCCAACCAGGATCTGATTCAGCTCTACCAACCAGTGATGATTCTTCCCGATTAAGCTCTTCCCGGTCTCGAGGCGGCTCAAGCTCATCTGTTTCCCAAAGTTCTTGGATATCCAGCAGCAGTGGCCAAAGGGTCAACTCTAACTTACACCCCTGTAGTTCAGATGTCTCTGACTCTCCCTGCAGTGGGGGGCCTGTTGTCTCCCACTCCAGCTCCGATTCCGTGTCGGGAGGTCAAAGGCCAGTGGTGGTGGTGGTGGAGCAGCATGGCTCTCATGGCCCTGGAGGGGTTCAGGGTGCCCCCTGTAGCAGTGGTGGCCTTCTAGGCAAGCCCTGCCCCCCCATCACCTCTGTAGACAAGTCCTATGGCAGCTATGAAGTGGTGGGTGGCTCTTCTGACAGTTATCTGGTCCCAGGCATGACCTACAGTGGGGGCAAAATCTACCCTGTGGGCTACTTCACCAAAGATAACCCTGTCAAAGGCTCTCCAGGTGTCCCTTCCTTTGCAGCTGGGCCCCCCATCTCGGAGGGCAAATACTTCTCCAGCAACCCCATCATCCCCAGCCATAGCTCTTCTAGTTCCAACATCTACCAGTCGGGAGCTTCCTCAGCCATTGTGTTCCAGCCAGTGGGCTCTGGTGGGGTCCAGCCCTGCGGAGTTGGCTCTAAGGGGCCCTGCTCCCTCTCGAGTTCTGGAGCCCACAGCAGTTCTAGCATCTCCAGTAGTTCATCCTTCCATCCCTGTGGTGATGTTTCACAGGGGCCCTGTTCCCCACCAGGCACTGGTTCCTTCAGCGGCACCTCCAGCTCCCAAGCCAGCGGCAAAATCATCCTTCAGCCTTGTGGTAGCAAGTCCAGCTCTTCTGGTCACCGTTGCATTTCTGTCTCCTCCTCCACATTGAGTGGGGGTCCTGATGGCTCTCCCCAACCTGATCCTTCAGCTGGTGCCAGGCCCTGTGGCTCCAGCAGCTCCGGAAAGCTCCCCTGCCGCTCCATCCGGGACATCCTGGCCCAAGTAAAGCCTCTGGGGCCCCAGCTAGCTGACCCTGAAGTTTTCCTACCCCAGGGAGAGTCACTTGACAGTCCATAAGTGAGCTTTTGCATAAGTGCATGTGTGGACATATACATGTACACACACACACACACCATCTCTCATTTGGGAGAAGTCCAGAGGCCCAGGTATGGGGTTGGCTCAGTTTCCCTCTTCCTTCCCAAGAGAGCTGATCTGTTTCCTCCATTGCTCCAATATGGCAGACTCCCCTTATCACCTCTTTTTTCTTCATCTCCCCAAATTGTAGACTCCAAATTCCTTTCCTCATTCTCTCCTGCTTAGATTCGCCTTGTACTGCAGTGCCCTCCCTGCCAGATAACCATTCCCTAAAATTTCCTCTGTCATTTCTTTGAGATGGTACAATCCATTAGCTAACCCTACCTATTCAGATTCTTGACTGGGAAACCCCTGAAATGTCCCATAGTAACTCTGGTTCCTGGACAAGTCATCCCCCCTTTTCCCTATTTGTCAAATAAAGCATTGTCCAAACTGTTGCCTGAAAGCAATGACCACTTTTCACTGACCTTCCTTGCCATCTGGTCAACCACCATGACATGCCGTGGGTTTCTCACACTCCCAATTCCACCCCCACCTTCCGCTATAGAGCTCACCACACCCTCTGTGAGTTCCCAACACTCCTTTTTGCCTCTCAAGGTCTCTTCTCAGTCCCTCTTCCTGGCTGCCACTTCCCTCAATGCTCAGATGCTTCCCTGTGTGAGGGAGACACCAGGGTGCCCCCGGACACTAGAGTGGTTTCCCTGCTCTCTCTGAACCCTGGACAGAGGATTCAATAAACTGTGTGAACTAGATGCAAACTTTTGCCATCTTGGCTTGCTGGGTCTCCTCTTAGGACCCGCGTGGTGCTCTCCTATACCTCTAGAGATCCCTATGTCCCCCATTTTCACTCATAAGTTGGAACAGTATTTCTTTACTTTATAGCTCCTCCCACAAAGGAGGAAAACAATAAATATTTGTTGAACTGAAAGCAGAGGTTGGTCTCCAAGATTCTTCCTCCCATTTCTTTCCTCTCTCACTGCTCCAGGAAATCTCTTGCTACTCCCCATTCACCTGGGGTCTTCCCCTCTCCCTGTATGGGGCCCTAATTTTTCCCTTCCCCACCCCATGCAGGCTTCTTCTTCTCTACCATTAGTTTGGCTCATTTACTAGATGCCATCCTCTCTAGGAATCTGAGCATTGATTTCCTGGGTTTCTGGGACATTTGGAACCTTGGGAAAGCTGGAATACAACAACCAGATCAGATTCCTGGTGACTGAGTGGGAGGGAGCCCAGGTGGGTGTTGTTCTGGGAACTAGGGGTGGAGAGAGTAAAAGAGAGGATGGGAGCATGACAAGGAGCGCCACCAAGCATAGTGACTCACTAGCCTACATAAAAATGCCCCAGCCCATGGCAGAACAGAGCCAAGTGTCCTCTCCACCTCCACACTCTAGCCACCTCTGCTGCAGTTCTAGAGAGAGCTCTATGGGAGGTAAGAGAGCAGAGCACTATAGTGGAGGAGGGGAGTTGCCTCCATGGGTGAGAGAAAGCAGAGTGTGGGGAGGGCCAGACAACTGCATTCTGGAGACTGAGGCTGTGGCCAAGGAAGTTCTCATAGCCCAAGAAGGGGAGAGTGGGCTATGCTTGTCCCTTTAGGAAGGGCCTCACCCCAAAGCACAGGTCACCTCTCAGAACCTCTGCTTGACTACAAAGGAATTTATCCCTACCCTAGGATCTAATCCATTCCTTCCTATTGGATGGTGTTAACTGGTCCCAAATTTAGGGCTATTGTTGATCAGAAATGACCTGGCAGCTGAGCCAACCTGCGGGGTTGACTGAAGACAGAGAAGGGCTGCAGAATAGTCCTGTTTTTGTCATCATTGGTGAGTCACACTTGGCCCAGCATCTGGCCCTGGACTGCAGCCAATGACAGGCGTCAAGGCTCTTAGAGGTTCCACACACCACAAATGCAGGAGGGATACAGACTCTGATGTGAGGACTCCTCTAGGCTGTGGTATGGCCAAGGTCAAAAGCTTTTGCAAATGTGGTGGATGTCATTCAAAAAGGACACTGCCCTCCACTGGCCAGTTCCAAAGAGGAGCTCCCCACTCATCCAGTAGCTAGCGATCAGGCGCTGAGGATGAGGATGGAAAAGAAAAATCTAACAGCTTATTTTAGACTTCATGTAACCAGGGACGCCTAGTCTGGGTACCTCCTGGAAGCAACAGAAAAAATGAAGGCATTTAAACACTCTTTATTGTAAAAATTTCCAACATATTTAAGAGTGGACAAAAGAATTAATGAATCCCTGTGCCCCCACAACTCAGCTTCAAAAATCATCAATTCATGGCCATTTGACAACAGCATTTAAACACCCTCCTCTGCTGTTAGTTGGGAACATCTACTCCCTCTCAGTATTTCTTATATTCTGTGGACCCGTTTGACCCTCTGTGGTAGACTGAATGCTGTCCTCCCCATCACCTCCAAAGATGTCCACATCATCCCTGGAACCTGTGAATATGTTAGGTTACATAGCGAAGGGAAATTAAGGTTGCAGATCGAATTAAGGTTGTTAGCTGACCTTAAAGTAGAGAGATTATCCTGAATTGTTTGGGTGGGTCAATGTGTAATCATAAGGGTCTTTAAATGTGGAAGAGGGAAAAAGAAGAAAAGGTCAGAGTGATGTAACTAAGAAGATCCTTGGTTTCTGGCTTTGAACATGGAGGAAGGGGACCACTGCCAAGGAAGGCAGGTGGCCTCTAGAAGCTGGAAAACGCAAGTAAATGGATTCTCCACTAGAGCCTTTAGAAAGAAACACAACCCTGGTGACTCGTGATTTTAACCCAGTGAGAACTCTGTCGGACTTCTGATCTTCAAAATTGTAAGATAATAAACTTGTATTGTTGTAAGCTACTAAGCTTGTGACTATTTTTATTACAGCAGTGGTGGGAAATTAATACACCATCATCTCTTAAGGATGGGAACCAGGTCTATTTCCTTACATACAAGGTCTCATCTAGGAGCAGCCTCTTCAATGGGGGCACTTCGGCACTCCGGAACTCCTATAGGTTGTGGTCAAGGTAAAGGAGCTATGGGGGTGCATGAAGGGTGCTGGAAGAGAATGATCTGGATCCCAAAGAGAAAGTGAAGAGAAGTGAGTGTTTCTATTGCTGAGAAGGCAATGAAGAGATTGGGACCCCAAGGGCGAAGGTCCTCCTATGCTTGGTGTAGGGAGCCAGGGCAGGGCAGGACTGGCAATCAGTGACGAGCTGTGAACCAGGACACCTGGGTCAGGAAGGAGTGGGGAACTTTAGGAAAGGAACCAGGGACGGAAACACCCAGCTTCCCTGCGACATCCAAGTGTCACCTGTTGCCACAGCCTGAATTAGGAATGAGAGTGGAATGTACAGACTTATTATCTGCACAACCACTGGTTCAGCTTGTTTCTGCTGTCCCCCACCCCACCAAGAGGATAAAGGGCTGGCTGTCTTGGGGCAGAGAGAGATGTTAGAGCTGAGCAAGATGCAGGGCTGCACGGTGGGGAGCAGGGTTCCTCTGGGCCTGCTTCTTCTGATCTGTCTTCATCTCCCAGGTATGGAGGTTGTGCTCAACCTTTGCACAGGTAGACTGGGGCCCCAGGGGAACTGGGATTGAGGGAAGGGGTAGAGGCAGGAGGGTCCCTTGGGTCCCTGGGGAAAATGAAGGGACTTGGAGCAAAGAGCATCAGGGAATCAGGGAAGGCAGGCATTGGAACAAAATATCCAGTCCATTTGCTGCCTCCTCTTTCCTTTTCCTCAGGCTTCTTTGCCCGAAGCATTGGTGCCATGGAGGAGAAAGTTCTCCAACACCTGGGCGCCAGCTTGCCTCTGCTTGAACAACCTTCCTTGCCCAGCCACTCCAACTCTGAACTTCCTCAGCCCAAACCAGACCCTGGGCCAAATGATTTAACAAGGGTTCCTTTGAAGCCCAATGCTACTCCGTCAGCTGGCTTCCAACCTGCAGGTGGTTCTGGGGTTCAGAGATGGCCCCCAACTGAGGGGCTGCCCTCCCTGGATTCCTGGGCCTCTGAAGATCCTTGGCAGATGATGGCTGCTGCCGCTGAGGACCACGTGGGGGACGTGCTGCCTGAAAAGTGGTCTTACCTTTCTGGTGCTGTCGCCCTCCCTCTGGGCAGCAGTCCTTTGCCTGCAGGGCCCTCTGCACGATCCACAAGCCCCATACCTGAGGCTGCACTCCTCTACCAGGACTCCAAGTCTAGACGGTCGCCTCCTTCTAATGTGCTGGGAGCGCAGAGAGAAATCCTTGTCCAATACCCACCCTCTTTTATTAACAGGATGCAGCAGCCACTTCTGCCTGGACACCCCTGGGGAACCCTGAATCCAGGAGTGTCCTGGGGAGGTGGAGGTCCTGGAACTGGATGGGGAATGAGGCCCATGCCACACCCTGTGGGAATCTGGGGTATCAATAATCAATACGCAAGTACTAGCTGGGGGGATATTAACCGGTATCCAGGAGGCAGCTGGGGGAATATTCACCTACGCCGGCCTCCCCAATCCTCCAAACCCTGGGTCACAGTGGGGTTAGGAGAATGACAGAGGGGAAAGCCCTAAGTTGGAAGTCAAAAGAATGGCATGTGAGCTGAATGAAGACTCGATGAGTGTGTTTTCTAGCATTCTGTCTACTTTTCACTGCCTCTCCTGCTCCTCCCATGCCGATCTCCAATAAAACACAAGGAGTTATTAAATTTGCTCCTTTGCAGTGTCTTTGTTTCTGGGTGCAAAGTGAAGTGAGTTTTGTCCATCCTCATTCTCTAGCCAGCCCCGTGTCTCTCTAGGGTCTCTAGATGCCCTCTTACTGTCCCCTATCCTTTGCAAAAGATCAAAGCCCAGGTGTTTGAGGGTGGAGCTTCATGGTCTCACCCTAGCCAGGTGGGAGAGCTGGTTCCAGAATTGTCCTGAAATCTGAAGGGGGAGGAGGGGCAGCAGGACCAATAGAGATGGCACCTGTGGCAAGAGGGAAGGATGAGATCCAAGAAGTTAGTACCAGGGCCAAGTGGGGAATGAATACCCTTTGATTCATAGAGAAACAGAGAGTCAGAGAAAGTCATTTTGTTTCTGCCTATCTTTTCTTACCCAAAATGCAAGCTTCTTGGAAACAGAGGAGGAATGCGTTGATCTCCTCCCTTACACGCATCACTTGGCACATTGTGCCCTAGAGAACCAAGACTTTGAACATTTGCCGAATGAATAGTAGACCTCAATGAGGAAAGAAAGTAAAGGGAGAAAGAAAAGGGAAAGAAAAACCTTGGAGTCAACAATCTTACCTGCAGCTGGTTTGCCCCTTTATTCCCAAGCGATGGCACAGTCTCTTGTTTTGGTCACACAGTTGTCTCTCTGCCACCCTTTGGTTTCCCTGGAGTTCAGCATCCTGCACAAAGTTGGAGTGAAGTGGGGAGGGTCATTGTAAGAAGTGCAGATGGAAGTTAGCAGGAGCCAGCTGGGGGTGACGGGGTTTCCAGAAGCGCACAATCCTGGTGGCCATGCTGTGTCTTTCCCGGTACCATGTGTGTACTTCACAGAGTGATCCAGGCCTGTGTACCGTCAGAGAGCTTGGGAATCACCCCAAGTCCTAGGAGTTGGTGAGGTTGTGGGGAGGAAGTAGGAGAAGAATAAACATCAGAATTGGAGGGATGGGAGCCCCCTGCCCGTGAGGTGGGTGTTCTCAGAGATCCTTCTCCCGTCCCAGTGTCTGCCACAAAACTCCATCCTACGCGAAGAATTCCTTCTTAGGACACCTTCCTATCACCAACCACGCTCCTTTCTGTATCACCTCAACCTCGCTCCCCGATTTCTTTCCCACCTTGGACTCTTGGTTTCTCCCTGTTCTGGGGCAGGTGGTTCTGTTCTCAGCACCTGTCTCTCCCACAAGCCCAAGTTCATTCTCCCGGGCTTGGGGTCTCAGTTCTCTGTCCCTCTTTATGGTTGACAATTTGCACTTCTAACTTCCAAGTCAGCACCCTCCTCTTCTGCTCCCATACTCCCTAGAGTGTAAGCACCAAGTGTCTATTTTGTTCACTGCCGCACCCCTAGCAGCAAGTCTGGACCAAGGTCAGATCAAGGAACCCTCTCTGACTCCCTGTTCTCTCTCTCTTCTTCTACCTTATTCCTGAGCCACACGACTGCACACTGAGTCTAATCGGTATTCCTTTCTGGGCTTCCCGGAGCCTCACTGACATTTCCTTACAAACCCCACACAGCCCTTCTCAGCTCATAAAATGCTCTGAATACTCCATCATTTTACCCTCATTACTATCTGTGAGGAAGGTATCATAAGATGAAGAAACTGAGGCCCAGAGAGCTTCAGCAATTTACACAAGGCTACATAGCTAACAAGGGACAGAGTCAGTGACTCAAACCAAATTTTTCTCATTATCTGTGCGGGGAGTGTTCAAGTACAATATGCAATTAACAGAAACCCACCTAACTTTTACTGAGTACCTACTTACTATGTGTCAGACTCTGGATAGGGTGCTCTCACACACACCACCCTTCCAGCTAATCCCTACAATTCCATCAGGTCGGCACTGCTGGACCCACTATAGAGGTGGAGATACTGAGGCCCAGAGAGGGAAGTGAGTCAAGGCTTGCACAGAGGTAACACTGAGCCAAGGGAGTGAAATTCATCAGGCCCTTGCTGCTGATGGAGGGTCCTGGGTACCTGAGGCCAGCCCCACCAGAGCGGTCTCCGCCTTAAGGTCAGTCGTTGCTAAAAAAAAAAAAAAAAACACCCAAACAAACAACTAAGCAGGGATAGGTCAGTGATTGGCGACACGATAAAGGTCCCAAGGTTTTCGGGGGCATGTGCTGCTGGTGTACTGATTCTTCTGTGTCTCTTAGTGGTTCGTCGGTGGAAGTGGCGGCTGGAGTAGCAGGAGTCATTTCTCTGCTCCTAGGAGGGAAGGTGTCAGGGAGGGTATGAAGCACACTTGTCGAGAGTCAGAAGGCCGGGGGTCCCTTCCGTGTGCCCACATGTCCTCTCTGCTGTGCCAGTGTGAGCTAGTCACCTACCTCTGTGGACCTGAGTTTTCTCATCTGTAAAATGGGATGAAAGCAGATATCCTGTCTGTCTCACAGTTTAATTAAGACCAGGACAAAGCGCATTAGAGGCTGAAAAACTCCAAGCCCTGCAAGGGATTGATGACAATGCAGTACGGGGTTCCCCCAAGGCAGTCAGGCGGGGCCACACAGAAGGATGGTTCTGAGCCCCCAGCAGGAGGCTGCTCTGGCCGTAGTTGACTCCATGGGTGACTGCTGAGGCTGGCGTGATGCTCCCATGATGCTCCCCAACAGGAATTACACTGGAGAATTATTCCAAGATCCGGAAAGCAGAGTTGGCTTCTCATTTAAGTATTTCATTCCCCAAACTGTGTTCAGTCAGATGTTCTTTACTTACACACATACTCTTGGGTGGTAACGTCTTTTTCGTGTATTTACCACAGACGGAATGTGTTACAGGGTTATTTCCATTCCAACAATTCCAGGATGTACTTAGATAAATAAGTACATAAAAAGTAAGGTTTTATTTCCATCTTCTGGACAAAGAACCGGAGGCTCAGCAAGGGTAGGTAATTTGCCCAAGGTCACACAGCCCGTAGGCAGTGGAGCTTGGTTATGGTGCCATTTGGAAACTGCGAACATAGCTGGGCAGACTGCGCAGAGCAGGTGAGAGATGCTGCAGCCCCTACAGCTTCACGGCCACCTTCGGTCCTTTCGCCAACAAATCCACTGAAGACCAGAAGTCAGGTTCTGGTTTTCTTTCTCTCTCTGGACCAAACGCTTACCTCTTGGGTTCTCCTTACTCAGTTGGAAAAATGTCCCCTGTTGTCTTTCCCCTACCTCTTTCTAGGTCAGCATTTCCCTTTTGCTGTCAGGAGGCTGGTGCACACACCCTGGAGACACCTTTACTAACCCATATTGTCACACGTGAGAGTGAGCACACGGACCGTCAGGAATATGGTCACAGCCGGCTTTCCATGTGCAGAGCATCCTGGTCGTGGAGGTCGGTACAGTCCAGGGAAGGGGTCGTGGGAGGAGAGCGGCGGCCGCAGAGGGGTGGCCGCGGCCGCTCAGGGACAGCCGTCTGCATCCTGCCAGCAGCAGTGGTGCTCTACGGGTTGATCCAGGCCCCGCGGAGACAGAGATCAAGAGGGTGGATGTGGTTTATCCCAGGCTGGTAGTTAAGCTGGGGCTATAGGTGTTGTTTGTTCTAAAGGAGCAGATTGGGCCAATGTGCAATACGTTTTGATCTCAGATGGCCCATCTAGGCAAGCCTCCCGGGGAAATGTGGGAGAAACAAACTGTGAAGTAGTTTCCAGGCCATTTAGTCCTTCTTAGCCTCAGCATGGCAGTCATTACTGATGGAGTGGAAGCTGTTTTCTGTAGCATCTTTCCCGCTGCCTCACTGTCTCTTTTCCGGTGCTCGAACCACTCCCTGGCTACCCAGGACCACCCGTCGGTGCTCGCCTCTGGCTGCGTCTGACCGCCCGTCCCATGTGCTAGGCTTTGCCCCTTGCCTCACCCCACCCCTACCCCCCTCTCCTTATACCCACTGCTTTGGGGCTCCCTGTTCACTGTGACGTTGTAATATGCGGAACTCAGAAGAGCTAAACTCTGTTCGTGATGGACAGGGGCAAAGGTGATGAATTTAGAAAGATAAAACCAATCTACTATGTTAGTGGACCCTTAGCTGCCTGTGTCCCAGCCTTCAGACTCAGGTTCTCCTCTCTTGGGACTGCCCTTGTCTAAAGGACTGTAAGGCACTTCTGTTTAAAGTTTGTTATCCTTATGAACTTATTAAACAATTAACATTTAAGCATTAAACCAACATTCCCCTATTTACATACTACTTACCCAACTACTGTAAAAAACTTATGGGTTTAATAAACCAAATTTATGCAAACATTAAATATTGGTTCACATTTAGACTAATTTATGCATTTAATGACGATCACAAGTCTGATATGCAAGATGCTCTTAAACATCTTAAACCCCCAACGAGAGAAACAAATGCCCAAGTTATAACGATTATAAAACTGATCACTTCATTTCCAATAAAAATCAGAAAGCTAGTTTCATGGATTTAAACTTCATTCTTCTTCTCTTTCGTCTTCCACTGTTGGGCTCCCTTTCTAGGATGTCAGTATGTTTTATTTGTATACCATCCTGAGGTTTCAGTAATCTTAGGATCTGCATTGGGGCCACCTGAGTCTGGGCTGGAAGTGAGGCTGGCTGCACAGTTTACAATCCAAATCTGGGCTGCTAGTGACCCGCATGAGCTGCCACTCTTTCTGCTCGCCTCCTTCCCCTCCTGAGGAGCTGCCTGAGGTCCTGCAAACCCGCTCCACTGTTTCGCGTTCCCCCAGCTGTGTATGAAGCCTCCAAGTTTTCCGTGTTCTTGTCAGCACTTGGTATTACTTTATATAGCCAGGACTGTGGATGTGAAATTGTATCTCACTGGAGAATAAAACTTTTAAAGGGCATAGATTTTAGAATTTTGCAACCCATTTTGTCCCCTTAACATAACATACTTAAAA